TTCTAATGTACTGCCTTCACTGGAAAAATTCTTAAAAATTCAGGAAGATATTCAGAGATGTATCTGTCTTGAAAATAGCCCATGTCATTCATATTGAACTGTGTAGCAAGTCAAACATCAGGAGCTGACTACAGGAAATGTTCTGTGATAATTCTTATGTCATAACATATTTTATAAAATTTGCCAAATTTAAATTCCACGGGAGTCATGGGTCCCAGGTTTCGGACGCATTCTGTAAGTTAGCCCATTTGAGGTACCTTGGCTCAAAAATGGTTGGCCTATAATGTACCATTTTGCCCAGTTAAAGGTTACAGACAAACAGACACAAGAGTTGTGGTTGTATTTAGATAACATACAATTAATAACAGCACAGTGAAGATATAAAATATACGCAAGCCTTCCAAGTATAGAGCAGGGCTTTCAAAACAAATTGATTCCAAAGTTAAATGAATGTGTAGGAGAAGAGGCAAATTTTTGCCAGCCACCAAAAAGAGATATACTTCCCTGGGCTGCACTCCTAAGAAGAGATGCTCTGTTCACTTGGCAGGGGCATCTGGAGGAGAGCCTCCAAGAATAATGGAAGCACTGAGCAGATACATAAAGAAGAGGAGGTCCTTGAGAGCCTCTGGTCCCAAGCCGTTCAGAGCTTTAAAAACCAGCTCCAGCTGGGCCAAGAATTGGCCCCAGAAACCAACTGGCTCCCAGTGCAGCTAGAAGAGCACTAATGTGATCAGGTTCCAATTGATAGCCTTCCAGCTCTATTTTAAAGTAGCTGAAGTGTGTGAAGCATCTCTAGGGGTAGTCATACATTGCAGTATCCCGAGAGATCATCTATCTCTGTCAAGAAAGGGTGGCAGCTGTAAGATGGTAAAAGGTTTCCTAACAATCAAGACCACCTGTGACAGGGATGATAATAGATCAAGAGCCCCCCAAGCTTTGTGTTTAATCTGTCAAGGGAGCACAGTTCTCCCTGAAATAGGCTGAACACTATTCATGTGGGTAGATGGGCCTCCTACCAACTATTTTTGTCTTGTCTGGACTTTGCTTCAGTTTTTTCGGTCTCACCCAGTTAATTACTGTGCTCAGGCACCCGCTCAAGAGATAATGCTCATAATGGAGAGGGAAAGCTGGATGCTGTGTGAATAGTGAAGCCAATTCAGCCCAAATCCCTGTAAGATCTCCTACAGCCAGTTGAATTTCAGCCCTGAAAAACTTCATGCTGCATCTGCCAGAAAGAGAGAACTGTAATTCTCCAGCACCATCTTCTGGAAACAACCAGAAGGAAAAAACAATACAGTACCCTTCCCTAACTCCATTGGTCTGGAGGAATTCCATAATTAAGGATATGGAAGGCACTATGTGTTCCAAAAGAATCAGCAAGTTATTACAGTCTCAATCTGTCAACCTCTCTCAGCAAAGGTCATCCCACAGGGTGACCAAAGCAATTCTGCACCAAAGGAGACTGAAAGTTGGAATGATATGGACCTACAAAATCAACTTTATCATAAAGTGTCAGAAGCTAATTGGCAATCACTCATTTGAGCAACTTATGTAACTAGCAACCAACCTACTACTGGACCTACTGAGGACTGATTTCATCAGGAGTAGCCTGGCTAGTGTCTCTTTCACAATGGCAAGGGTTACTCCTGCTCTCAGAGAAGGAGTAACGATCCCCAGGACTCAGCTCCCTGGAAGCCGCTAAGAGGTCCTGTCGGATCGACAAAGACATGTATTGTGCGAGCTCCTTTTCCTTAGACTGAACAAGGCTGCCTTGGTTCCTAGTCAAGGTTCTGATTCCCCAACTTCTTGGTTCTTTTAAGTTCTTTCTCCTGAAAAAAGAAGGGCACCTTTCAGTGATCAAGGATCACTGCTTAGTGAAACGTTTTCTGTCAACCTTTCTGGCATTCGTAGTGCTTTGCCTTCATCTTCTAAGCAACCTTCCCCAGGCCGTTTAGACTGGCTGGATGTTATTATCCCCGGCTGCAGATGGGGATGGTGGCGGTGGAAGATCTCCTGAGTGGCCTGGCCGATGGCCCCACTCTGAGCAGCTGTTTGTGCTGAGGGGACATCCAGACAAATTTAGCAGCACCTCTTTGACCGTCCTATTACATGAAATGCCATGTGCTCCTGAGTATTCTTTTCACGGATGAACTCTGATTACAGAGGACCAATTAATGGGGCAAAAGGCAGCATCTTTCTTCCTTCTGTGATTTAGGAAGAAAAGCAATCCCACATTCTTCAGAGGGACGTTCAGTAGAACCATTTATTCTGTGGCTTTATATTTTTAATAGCATTTATACGTAAGTCTCCCTTCCAATCCAACATCCAAGCTTGGGGAAATCAGTCACAAATGAACCTGCAATTAGCCTTACTGTTGCTTGTAATCATGGCCCCTTTTCTAACTAGGGGGGAATTAGACCTTTTTTAGCCAACTGTTGGTTCATATAAAAGAGGTTTCATTCTCCCACATCCTATCATGATGTTTGTCCAGGCTTTAGCGGCATTCGGTGATTAGAAATAGACACCTTCTTGTCATCTGCAAAGCTTGCCCATATCTGAGAATATGTAGCTCAGAGTTGAACTGATGGATTCTTGGTGCTAGGGTTAGGGTTAGGCTTGCAATGATGTTGCTGCCTGGCCTGGTAGTGAAACATCTGCAAGAAAACAACCAAGCTCAAAGAGTATCAAGAACCCAGCTAGCCCATTTCACTTTATCCATTTTATGAGTGCTTGACGTTTTTTCTCTAGAAAATGCCAGGGTTCAGTGTCCACGACAGGGGCAAAAGTCACCAAGTTGTTCAGTTTGTACAGGAACTAATCCTACCTCCTTGTATTTCAGGTAACCCTGTTACTGTTGGAATGAGCATCCATATTTCAAGCATTGATCAGATTTCTGAAGTGAATATGGTGAGTACGAATGAGAATAATGAAATCATTCTCTTTGGGAGTTCCATACCACGGAACCAATCCAGGAAGCCTGATTTGAAATGAAAAGAGAGGAGTTAATGTTCTCACTGTCCTCACTTGCAGACAATGTTTAGCATGAAACGAGGTGTAGGGTTATGGTAAATGCACAAGCACACATTCAAACACGGGATATCTTCTCAACCCAAATACTGTATATGGAAAATATAATATTTAATGTTAGTGTTTTTGCCCATGGGACTATTTAAAACAAATTCTATTTTATTGTGATGGAGGCAAATATCAGACAGGAAAAGGCTTTTGAAATAGGACGGAAAAATCTGTCTTTGGTTGATAAATGATCTTGTATTGCATCAACAAACAGCCAGTGAACCGTGCAGAGCGACTGCCGCCTCCGCTTCCCCTCTTGCCCTTGTGGAAAGGTTCTGCCCTGACCTCAGTGGGGAGGCTTGTTGGAATCTGCCATCCTCGTTGTGGGGCTAGAATCAGCTTTGAAAGTTCAACATAAACTCAGCAAAAAGCTTGGCACACTTGCCTAAATGCAGCATCTCTCCACTGGGTTATGCACACAAGAGGAGCTGCTCTGGAGGAGCAGGCAGGCAGTAAGAAGTTCTGTTCATTTTGGCACTGAGATTTTCTGCTATTAAGTATTAGATCACTAAGGAACTAGAATTAATAGTTTTGTATACTGATATTTGAGGATGTGTTGATCACCTTTTCCTGACCTGGATATCCTTCCACAGCTAGATAAAACTATGCATGTTTTCTCTGATCTTCCTGGTTTAAACTAGAAATGAAGGGGGACTATCACAGGAAGATGAAGAAGTCCAGGTTCTGATGCTTGTTTGAAGATAGCAGTGCATAAATGCATTATAATGAGTCTGAAAGTTAACTATTATGCAGATTCAAATATTGACATCCCTCCCTCTTCCACCTGAATTCCATCACAAGTGGGAGCATTAACAAAGAGCAGTTTTTATATCTTAATCTTAACTGGTGAGAGAAAAATTATGTTTTCAAGTTTAGATCCAGCTGATAAGGCAGAAGTTATTGGTTGATTGAAGCAGTTTTTTATGATGTTAGATGCTAATGTGATGGACTTGTCTTTTATGGAGATTTATAGTGGGCCCTGAAAACCACCAGACTCCAAAAGGGAAATTCTACAACTTCTTCTTGGGCATAAAACTGGGACCAGAAAACAGGATCTTTGGAATATTATACCACAATTGCATGACATTAGAGGGTGGAGGAATGTCTTCTAAGTGGTAACCTTAGAAGGGTCATTTCAAATCAATGAAATCTGCTGAGGAAGATTGAAAGCCAGAGAATGAAAGAGAAAGGTAATTGATTGCTAAATGATTCATTCCATGAGCAGATCTCCTACTGAGAACATGTAGAAGTTCATTCTGACACTGAGGTTGTAATGGAAGGAGAAGGACTGATAATTTCCCATGATTTATTTTGAATGGAAACAGTTCCTTCACTGGGGCAAAGCAAGTTGAAATATTTTTTAAAAAAATCTGGATGTCACACTTTCCGTTTGAATGAGAGAGCCCTGCCTCTGCACCTGTCTTTTTAAAGGTGAAGGAGACACTCTCACAAAATAATGGGGTGTTCAGCTGAGAGAGATGCTGGCTTGAAGTAGGTCCAAAGCTAGTTCTTATTTCTCGTGGGCGGCAGGGCTGGCCTAGATCTTCCTGGAGTGAGAAAAAGTGAGGAACCTGAAATGGAGTCTTGGATGTTGGGAAGAGTGTTGTGATGCAAACAACACCCCTGACTTAGTTGTGTGTGATGTCTTGATGCAGATACAAAAGGATGGAGCTTGAGTTGTGAGGTCACCACAATACAGCCTCCTATGAAGAAGTGCTGTGATATTAGCCTAAAATGAGCACGTGCTAATTCTTGAAATCCTGCTTCCAGATTTAGCAGGAAAGCTGCATTTGGTCTAGTCTTTGTAGGGGGACCTTTCAGTGTGGAAAGATGCTGCAAAAGGTTCAGGAGATGTTCACCCTGCTCTGGGCTTTGTGAGCTTGGATGCCATCTCTCCAGGTCATCCTCAGCCTGTGGCCTAAGAAGAAGAGAGAGCATCCAGAGGAGGCACCAGCATAGTAAGGCCAGCTTAGCAAAGCACCCTACTGCCTAAGGTGGCCAGCCAGATGTCCCCCGCCCCCAAGAAAGAAGGCGGACTTCAAGTAAAGATGTCTGGGCAGATGAGGGTCAAGGGGAGGAGCCCATCAGCCTCTTCTCCCTAAAGATGTGTGTCATTCTCTTCTATGATCATTCATCCTTCACCATTTCTTATGGCAGCAAAATCAATAGTCTAAATATATCTTGAGGAAGTTGCTTCCTTGGATATGCTATAGATGGTCTTCTAGGCTCTGGGGTGTTGTAATAGAGGGTAAGAACCTCTCCGTCCCTTTTCTCCACAGTACATCCCATTTTAAGCGTCTCTCCAATACCCTCCTGTTTGGTTCCCTTCCTCTTCAACTAAATATACCCAAAGGTAATAGTTTTTGTTTGTTTTTTTGGAGAGAGGAAATATTCGAGCCACTTCATCACTTTGGTGGCCTGGATTCTTTCTTGAGTAAGGTGCAACATATATTTAATAAAAACACTGGCAGTTTTCTTTTAAATGCCTTTCTTAAAATAACATTTTCCTTTGTCAGAGTAGCCACACTGCATGTTTTCACTGAAGCTGTTCTTTCCTGGCCCAAATCTCTTTCCTGTTCAGTCATGCTTCAAGGTCATCATAAAGTGGCTCATTTGATTTCGTGTGTTCGTGTATTGTGTGAACTAGCCAATTAAACACACTGTGGCTCCCTGTGTCCCTGCATATCCATGGATGTGCGCACTTAGGGGCTTTTGACCCACTGCATGTACCTCCTTGCTTGATTCCTTGGAATTATTTCTCTGCCCTATGCTTGGGCCCTGCACCCCTCTTGTTTTACTGCTGTAAACAGAAGGCAGTCACAATGCCATTCTCCTGTGCATCACCCATAGACGGAGGACTTGGGTAGGGAAATCAGCTCCTCCTCTGCCCCATATGCCGTTTCACAAGAACCACAGTTGGCAACTTTCTGAAAGCAAGCAGGTTTATCACCTATCAATCTCTGTGCTGCCGTATGCCAGCATGTTCATAATATCACTCACAGAAAACACAAGGCAGGTGTGGATCTACCTTCCCCCGTGCAAATGCTGCTCTTCCACAAGATGTCTGAACCTATTAATTAGAACTTTGGCAGACTTAATCTCTCAATTCCAGAAGAGTTTGTCTTTCCTGCTAAATCATTTAGTTCTGTCATAAAATGAGGCAATTTTCTTTAAAAATTTTTAAAAGTAATATTTTCAGTAAAAGGCGACTTGAATAAAACTCCATGTTTGGTCTATGACTGTATATTTTAATAAACTAGAAGAAAAATCTTACATCTGTGGTATTTTTCAACTTTCTTTCAAATCTTTCAAATCAAAACATGTTTTATTTATTGGTTGCTTAAGATTTGGGACTGGACTCTGAGTCAGCCCGAGGCCGACTTGGCGCCCTCCTTGTCTTTGCACCCGGGTGCAGCGGATCCTTTATCTTGCACAGCGAGCCTGGGACTTTATGCAGTCTCTTCAAGGTGTGCCAGCAGGGCTGAGTTGCTATGGAGACAGGCTAGCTTTGATTGCTGCATACTTCCAATCATATAATTAATTAATCCCCAAATATTGCTTCAGCAGAGGAGTTCCCTTTATATCCCTTGCAGTAGAGGGCTAAAAAAAAAAAAGGCAAGTTCCAAATTAACGTTGCAAAGAATCAAGAATCTGTTTACCACCCGGCTGAATTCCTGGCCCATGATATTTCTATGTTTATTAGATTTCTATCCTGCCTTTCATTCAGGAACAAGAGGCAATGTCCTAGCGTGCCTTCCTCCTATTTCCCCCACAACCTCAACCGCCATTTTCTGAGGTAGATTGGGCTGAGAGAGAGTGATTGGCACCAAGATACCCTGTGAGTTTTGGTGGCTAGGACTCATGCCAGTCCATCACCTTGACCACCACATCACAGTGGTTACATGTCTCTTGGAATTAGCTGGGGAGGGAAGTCCTGCCCTCCCCTGCTCTCAGTTGCAGGCCTGGAGGAACAGCCTACATCACCCCAAGGCTGCAATCCAAGGCAAGTGCGAGGAGGCATCCTGGGAACCTCTGCCCATCCCAGGTCTTAGCTCTGCACATTCGGCTGAGCTCCTCTTCCCCTCTCCAATCATGAAGCTGGGAAACTCATTCTGAAGCAACGTACCTAGACAGCAAACTGGCTGGTCATGTATTCCTGAGGGCCTCTTTGCGTCTTATAGTATGCTCAGCATAAAACTAGGCTACCATATCTGGCTGCAGAACTCCAAGACCCCTTTATGCGTGGCACAGGGCCTGGCTGCTTGAGGGAGTGCCTGTCTCCTGTAGCATCTGCTCGGCAGGGTTGGTGTGCTCTGGGCCCCTTTGATTAAACAAAATCGTTATCGAACCCCAGAAGTGAACATTCTCTGTAGCAGCACCTGCCTTCTGGAATGAGGTTCCCCCCAAGATCTGGATGGCCCCCACCCTGCTGTTGTCTCAGAGGGCCTTAAAGAGCTGGCTTTTCGCCCAGGTCTTTGGCGAGGGAGAAGGAAGAGCCTTCCCTTCGTCCTTGTCCAGTCTGCTGTCATTCGTGCCATCTTTTAAACATTCATTCATTCATTCATTCATTCATTGTTGTTGTCATCATCATCATCATCATCATCATCATCATCATCATCATCATCATCA